AAATACTGACTTCTGTTCATTTTAGTATACCATTTAGTACCACAGCAATTCTGAAAATGAGAGCATCCAGTTAAGTTCCTACATTTAGGCCTAAGAGTCTATACTGAAGAATTTATGCTTGAAAATCTTGACCAGAATCTCTTTTTATTTACTTTTGAGAAAAGCCATTTAAGGAAATCTATGTAAATATGTATTACMTATAGTATACTTAATCAAACAATGGTTTGTTTTTAGGATAAGTAGAAACACTATATGAATATTTGTAATTTTTCTAAATTGAGTGGTGAAACATTGAGTTTCTATGGAAAATGTCCACATTTTGAAATTCCTGTCTTTCATGTTATTATTAACATGTCAGCATTTTACATGTAGCAGAAACTGTGAAAAGTTGTATTTGGTAAAAATTTAGATGTTTAAAATCTTTGAGGTAAAGGAATGAAGGTGGTTGTCTGGACTATTCTGTGGCTATTTCATGCATGATCTCTTTCTAATATTTCATGCATGATCTCTTTCTAGAATTTCAGGACCATCTACTCTGGAAACAAGTACGCTAGAAGCCTTGCCTCCAAAACTTGAAAATTCACACAACCCCTTTTTTTAAAAAAATCTATTAATCTTTTAGAAGTAGTTTATCAAAATTGTCATCTTCTGTCCTCTGCTGTTCCATACAGCTTAATATACCGACATCACCACTAGCATTGTATTTTCTAGCAGTACATTATGTGTTGTAAACAATTTCTGCTACAAGTGATTCATTTGCTCACATGRCATGTCCAATGCAGAATGAGTTGTAAGGCATAATGTTCACATTAAGAATAAACACAACAGACAGCTGTGCTTTCAGTTGCTTAATGCAGGTGAAGTCAAAGTTCATTTCCCATTAGCAGTGGGAAAAGTTGTTGGTGGTTCATTCCAGGTTCCCTTCAGCCCATACAAGCTRTCCTGCACCGGAGTTCTGAGGCTCTGCAGACTGGAAAGGTCCTGTTGGGTTATCACATCTATGCCTCGTTATTGCAGGAAACCACAGCATACAGATCTTCTTCTTAACTCTTACCTACTTTGATAATTCACTCAAACTCCTCTAGCAAACTTCACTGTCTTCAGTTGATAGTTMAGATCTTCAGGAGCCTTTTCCCCGAAATTTGTATCCAAGGGAGAGGTTCTCCAACTTTCTTCTGAAATACAGGTTTCTCTCCCTCTCTTCCCTGGATTCCTTAAACTGTAGCTGCTAAATGCATCTGAAGGATAGTTGTCCACCTCGGTGTCCCTTAACTTAGAGTAGGAGCAATACAGTTTGTTTTCATTTTTATGAACCTTGTCTCCCAAAATGTCTCTGTCCTCAAAAGAAACTAGCYTGCTGGAGTATGGAACAGTTTTATTGGCTCCAAATGGTACAGCAAAAGGTCCAAGTGTAATGAAATGTAGTTTTTAGGGGAGTCCTTCACACTGTTGTTYGTTGTCACCTCTAATTCTCACATCCAGTGACTCAGTCATGTTGACAAATGATCAAGGGGAAAGAAGATATCTTAAACCATTAACTCTTGCAGTGCTTGCTGATTGATCTTCAGGCTTCTGCACGTGTTTCATAAACACTTTGAAACAATCTGTGTCTTTAAGGTTTAGCATACAGCACATACCATAATGCATAAAAGATGTCACCTGTGTGTTTGCCAGCATTAATACTTTCAGAAGATCTTCCAGGTCTTAGGCTGTGCTCTGTTCCCTTCTAGTACCACACTCGAAAACCACAATCCACATAACTAAAATCTCTTTTAGAGTAAGATTAGAGTAAGATTTTCTGTGGCCAGTACATATTTAGTTGTAGATGACAGTAGGTCACTGTTTGGTTTTAGAGAGATATTTTTGTAAGTGTTAATTTTCTGCTTTGTGTCTTGACATATACTTCCCTGCCGACTGAACCTTTAACATAATGTTAACAACGTGAAAGATATTTCTGTGTAGGAGTACAGCTACTCTTTTTTTTTTTTTTTTTTTTTTTTTTTTTTTTTTNCCCCAGTAGGAGCTAAACTAAAGAAAATATCACCCACTTGCTCCCATTTAAGTTTCACATCCCCTGGGTCATGTCCTGGGATAAGTACAAACTGCTACTAAAAATCTGAGTGTCTTGATATCAGATTTTTTTTTCACCTTATTATATTTTATCTCCAAATATTTGGTATCAATTCCCTCCAACTAAAAGATGATGTAAAAGAGTGTGTAGATAAATCACCGTGAAGAGAATACGTTGGAAGACAGCTGGGAAATAGCCCTAAACACAATACCAGGCTCAACCCTGGCTAAGCAGAGGGACCTATATGGAATGTATATGCTGGTATCCTACACATATTTGCGTTCAGATACTGCCAGTACCCAGATCCACCACTTTTGTACTTTTGTTCCTCCTGGCCTTTCTCAGCTAACGAAATGCATTTCCTGATCACTGCTATTCCCTCTCCCTCCTTTTTTTTTTTTTTTTTTTTTTTTTTTTTTTTTTTGGCAACGTGCCTGGTTACTGCGGAATCTGCATGAGCCGGGATGTCCTCTCCTGCTCTCCTGCTGGGTGGGTGCAGCAGACGGAGCTGTTGTGATCCCTTTGGGCTTGTAAGGGGACACTGCAACTGAGCAACTGACAGCCTGCAGCATCCCCTCTCCCTTGCCCGTTCCAGATCATGCTGGAGATTAAAAAAGCCTTTGTCTCTTTGGAAAGGACATTGTGCCAAGTATGTTGAATATATTGTTGAACTCAAATCAGTTGCCGTTGTGGTGGTTAACCCACACATAAGTCTTCTAGCCTGCCCTTTTTCTGCTTTTCCTACAAGTGTGTAACTTGAACCTCTTGCAACCCATAGAACAGCTTCACTAAGATCACTGGGAACTGAGTTTGATGTCAGGTGCAGTATTTCTAACACTGCAAAATCAGGGCACACATTGCTTATTGTTATTACAACAATCTCCTTCTTTTGCCAAGAGATGTATTATGATACTATAAAACATTATATGTACTTTTATGTTTTCTTGTGAACTTTATTTAGTGAGAAAGAGCATCACTCTTTAAAGCAGAAGGGAATAGCGTTAAGGAGAAAAGCACATATTGTTCATTAAGGCAGGAAATGGAGAAAGAAACAATCTTGATTTTTTGGGTCGAACCCAAAAGYATAATGGAAGTGGCCTAATGGAATGGAAGTGGAATGGCCTAAACTGGCATAGATTTCTTTTCTTTTAGTTCATAGAGCACAATGTAGTAGCATCAGTCATCTTCACCTTAACCAGTGTCTAAAGCTAAATGCTCTTCTGTTTTAGATGAAAAATACCAGATGACAAGTACACCCATTTTCCCTTATAAATTTCACAGAAATGAGACTCCACTATTCCTCCCTAGGGATCAACGGAAGGTTGAGCCAATGCTAAAGGCTAAATGGACCATCTGTCTTCTTCCTGGCTTTTGTAAACTCCTGTCCTTCTCTTTTTATTGTAAGAGCTACTAAGCTAGGGATAAACATGGAAGACTCCCTTTTTATTACAGATCATAACCAGGATCTACTGGGAGGTTTTCATACTCCTACTACAGAAGTTAAATAAAGATCAGACTGTTGCTTACCCTCCCTTAAAGAGAGAAGAAAGTATAAGTGATTTAAACTTAGTGTTGGTAATAGCAAAGCTCATATTCTTACAGAAAAATCTATGTTTTGTCAAACCTTTCCACTCTTGTTGATATTGTCTAATTACTCACCCTGTTTCAGAGCRTTGGACTTAGCCCAAGTCTTACAAGTATAGACATGAAATCTGGTGTTTTAATATAAAATACTTTCTTTCTCCTGTTTTTATTCAGCCTTCACTCCCTCTTAGAAACAAGGATGTGGGGCGATTTAGAGTCTCCAGTCACTTTCTTTCTTAAAGCTGTTTTTTATTCTGCTAGCTGGAAGATACTAACTCCTTTGGAACACTTTGCTATAGATTCCTGTAGATTTCCTCAAGCAAACTTGAGTTGTTGATATCTCAAGTTTGCTCTTTAAGGGTGGTATATGTAAAATCAGTGGTCCTGGAATGTCACCTCATTTAGGAGATTATTTTTGAAACTTCTCCACCACCCCCCTTCTCYATAGACAACTGTTTCTACCACAGAGATAAATTACCAGGCTGACCTAGAAAACTGGAAGCAATCACTTTCACAGCTCACGTCCCCAAAGGCGGATTAACTTGGCTGTCTTTTAAAGACCCARGAGAAGAGACCAGGTCCTGAGCTATTATAAATCATCACATTCCAATGAAGTCAAAAGAACTATATCCAGAAACTGGTACAGTGTTTCTACTATTGTCAAGTTTCTTGTAACACTGCTCCAACATCTTGGCCACGAAAGTAGACTTCCACCAGACACAYTGTACATTTTATCCTGTGACATTAGACACAGTTAAAAATTTGTAATTTCTGATGTTGTTTTCAATAATTCCTTTCTCTCCCTTCTTGTATCAGGCGAAACCCACTCCACTTCCACCTCATTGCAGATGCAATTGCCAAACAGATCCTGGCAACTCTGTTCCAGACATGGATGGTCCCTGCTGTGCGCATAGACTTCTACGATGCAGATGAGCTCAAGGTAAAGAACGACAAAACATATGTTTCTCATGCACTTCTGGTTTCACATTACTCCTTTTTATTCACCTGTCTGAATTTGAATGGAGAACATTACATTCTCCCTGTTTAAAAATAATTCTAACCCACATGATTGTGCCCTTAGTAAAATGTAACTGAAAGATATGGATTTTCTAAAATCAGTGCAGTTTCTGTGTTTATGAAATATATTCTTCAGCAGCTTAGAATTTTGCCTGCTGTCAAGAGGACTCTGGTTGCACAGGTTGTATTGCATTTGATCTCATTATGTTTTACTAGGGATGCTTCTTTCTAGTAACACTGATGGAATCTTAAGTATCTTGTTCAATAAACCTAAGGTTGCTACTGAAAACAGCCTCCTTGCCTTCCTTAAGCATGGACATGTACCACTATAAGTAACACACACACACTGAAGAGCTATTCAGTATTAAATTTATAAATCGCTACCTGCTTTATCTGGATAGCCTTTCAAAAGGAAGGACTGGAAGAAAGAAAAGTTCCATGAGAAAAAAATACTCAACGCATGAAGTAATTATCTTTTCATAGAGTTGGAAACTTTAAATTAGATCACAGGAGCATAGCACTGCATTTCAAAACTGCGCATTTTTTGCTGTGAAGGTAGAGTGAAGTATTCAAATTTTAGCATTTAGAATTGGTGGCAGTAGTTTATATAGCATAAATATGAACATCCCAAAACCAGGAAAAAAACAAAAATTAGCAAATTGCTGTTCTAATTGAGGTAAATTCAAAGTACACCACTTGGTATAATCTTGAGTACAAAATTTTGTAGAAAGAGATGGTAAAGAGGAAAAATGATCCTTGAGAAAAATATTTCATTCGTAGCTATTTTTATTGTTTTACTGATCCTCCTACGTGAAGCAATAAGAAGCTATTAACCTAATTAGGTAGATATTTTCCTTCGCTTCTTTATAGCTTTAAAGGAGGTTTGTTCTTGTAAGTCTTGTACATGTCTATATTAGATGAGCCTTTTGTAAACTGTAAGGTTTTCACAGTGCTTAATTAGCCTCTCAGTTGGGCGATGCAAACTTGTTACTGTCTTCCTTCTGGTCATTTGGGTACGGAACAATCTACGTGAGTAGACAAATATTAAGTATTATTTAGTAACCAGGAGACCTTACTTCAGTGATACCCAACTTGCTGCTTTTTAGGCAGCAATATTAATCTTGTGCAGACAAAATGCTATAGCAAAAAGTCTTGTTTTCCCCTCCCTCCTGACCCAGCTTGACACCTCTCACTCGACAGTGTCACCTTGCACGTAACCCAGAGGCTTTAGATTGGGAACCACTCTCTGGATATAGATATTGATGTACAAGYACATCCTTCCAGATCTACCATTCCTAGAGTTCATCATACTATATACCAAGCAATTCCCCTTATTTCAGTGGCCAAAAAAACTGCATATAAAATAGTACCCAGCATAGGTGAATGCAACAGATCAAGGCCAAATTACAGCAGAGAGTTGTAAGTATAAATAGAGTTTTAAAAAGCTATCTATAATACTGACTCATATCCACATCCTTCTGCAAATTTTAGCAAAGAACACAGAGGAACTGTTTGGAAACAGCTGTAGAAACTCACTTCTTCTGTCCATTGAATACTCTCTAGAGAAGATATTTTGCTGGTTGTGATTGTTTTGCTTTTTTTTTTTTCAGTTGTACTCGCAAGAGCTATATTAGCCTGTCCATTGTTAGGAAAACAGATCTGATACTGGAAAGTCTTACTAAAATTTCTACTTTTCACAAAAGTAATTTATGGATCCAGTGTTACAGTATATACCATGTTCAATTTTAATGACCCTCTATAGTTCTTTTCTAATTTTGTTGATACCAGTGACTGAAATTTAAAAAGGTTTAATCTGAACAGATGTTTGGGGATTTTCTGTTTAGTTTTCATTCACATTTGGAACACATTTTAGAAATTGCATACATTTTTGAAAACATTTCATGTTTGTCTCTCTCTCTCTTTGCATAAAGTATGGATTTCCAGCCCCTCACTTCCTAATGCAGCAGGAGCTGGCATGTTCATTTAAGCCCCTAAATCCTGGGAAAAATCCTGCCCCTACTCTGCCAGTGGACAGGAACACATGATATTGATCGTCCATAAATAATATGAATACTGACTTATTTTCAAGAATTCAGGCAACATTTCCCACTAGATTACTAACTTTTTAGAAGGCAGAATTTGGAGACTGTCATGTTTGGCAATATTCTTTAGCATTTCCCAGAGTTCTTAAAACGCATGCTGTTTAGCTTATTGTTACAGTAATCAGCATCTTGAGAAAAAAAGGCAGCGAAAATAGGCTACTCAGTAGGTGACATCTCCATGCAGCAAATAAGAATGGAAGACTGTCATTACAAGAAGGGGAAGACAATGCTACAGATTATCCCAGATTTTCTACTACCAGCAAACTAACATACCTACTTTCAGTCTGCTGGTCAGAACTAAGCACATTAGAAGATTTTTTTTTTTAATTTAGAGAAGACTGCTTTCTTTTGTGAGATGTCACAGCTGCTCATGATCATCCTCCACCACTTAGAGGCCTGTTCATTTTCTCCCTCAGGGTGGGTGCTGCCAAGCTAATACCAGCCTGTTTGGAAGAGGTATGGAGTAAGAAGCATGGAGTAAGAAGTAGGACCAGGGAAATGTCTATTTTACTTGAGGGACAGGATAGGAGATGAGGATTAGGAGAAGAACCAGCTGTGCAGCAGAGCCAAGGCATCRGTGTTTCCAAGAGAAAGGTCAGCCGTGATTGTCACGGTAGTTTCTGGGTGCATTTCTTCTAAACAATTTGGTGATTATAGTAGCCAGTTCTACTAAGATGTTTGTAGCCACCTCCAACATAACCTAACTTCCCTCCTCATTGCCTTGTGACTAACCACACAGGAGATCTGCTTAAAAGCAGTTATTCTAGAAGCATATAGCAGTAGATAGCAAAACCCATTATATTAGTGCATTGACCAGTAGTGTTAAATTCAGTGGGAGAGTAAATCTTATCATGGCAGTGATATTCTTTTTGCGAAGTAGGTTGAGCRATGCACCTAAAACAATACCAGCAAAACACTGATCTTGAAAAGCCATTGCAGCTGTGATTTGCATATATCAAGCTGCAGGATATTGTGGTTTTCAGTTCAGCCTTAATGTGAAGAAGAGATGAAGATGTGGAACACGTTAGACTTTGGTGTTTCAGCACTTCATATGGAAGTCCATGTCAATTCAGTCATAGKGACATGCAGACATTAAACCTACTGTGATCAACACTGGCCCAGAGCAGAAGTAGTAGCTGATAAAGCAGTGCTGACTATGTCATGTGTGGAATACAGATGAGGCAAGTTTGTTTTCTCAGATGTTTCCTGACAGGCTGCTGACAACATCAGGTGAACTGAGAGAAGGAACAGTTATCTTCCCTGCTGTGTGTAAATGTTGATGGCCCAGATAAATGTAGTTTTGTCATCACTAGTAAAGTAGAAAAGCCATGTCCTTTAAATACTTCAGACCACAAGAATGTTRCATTTGGTCTATGAACTGGAAGGTAGAAATGGTGAATGGGTTTTTGCAATAAATGAGCATTTGACCTGAAAGAGAAATGTGAAAAGTTCAGTATTTCWCTGCTAATGGAAAATATTCCACCTTTTTTTCATTCCCCAAACGAATAGACTAGTTCTCACTACCAATGCTGCCATATATGAGTTTCATATGAGAAATGTCTGTATAGTCTGTACACTCGGTCAAAATCAATGGCGTGATCCAGAGGGCAAAATTAATCTGGGATAAATTGTGGAATCAGTATCATCTAACTTTAGGCATTTACTTTAGGATGAGATGAATCACTCCTTAGTGAGTTTCTCTTTTTTTTTTTTTTTTTTTTTTTTTTCCATTCAAGCCGTGAAAGCACTTCACTAAGTCAGACATTGGCATTATTTGTTCAGATAGATACATGGCAAGGGCTATGAAATTTAAGTATGAAAATCAGGTTTGTTCTTCAGTCATCGTAGTGTATCTGGGTCTTAGGGTTGTGCTTACTCTATGTGCATACCCTTGGCACTTACTAATTCCCTGGATGGTTCTGGAACTCTGGATGAGCAGATTTGACTTGAGACTATGGGTCAAATTGAAAGCAGATGGTTGATGATTGACTGGCAAGCCACCTGCACACTTGCCTGCTTGTTACAGGAGCTCTCCCAGTGGGAATTTCAGGCAGTTCTAGAGGTTTCCCCAGGCAGCTCTTCTGTGCCTAGACCAATTTGTGTATGTAAATGTTTTGATTAACATCTTTGTGGAGAATTTTGTTGTCCCAGAGATTCCCAGAGATTCCCTGTTGCAAAATARTCAATTCTTCATAGGTAAGACACTTGTAAATAGTCAATAGAAACTGTTCCTACAGATGTAGGACAGTCTTATGTGCATATTTATCATGGCCAGGAGATACTTTTTATGTAGCTCAGCATAATATATATTGATACATCATGGATTTACTGGGGGCAGGATCACAGGCCAGCTTGTAAGGACTGTGCAGAACAACATTTCAGGGTGTCTCAACAAATTCAGCTAAGATGTCTCTGCAAGAACTGCTGCAATGCAGACTCCCTTCAGCACCTACACAGCATCCAGTTGCATTGATTAAGAGATTGGATTGAAACCATAAGAGTTACCGTAAGCTAAAATCCCAATAATAGTTTAGGGTTTTTTTTTTAATAAACACTCATTTCATGAGTGTGTGCAACAGATGGCACTAACATCAAATACGGTAGCCATCCCATTATTTTTGTTAGCAGTGGAAGCTTTCCCAGCGTTGATAGCATTGATGGGGCTCTAACTTTCATATGTGGCCATGAATCCACCTTGTTCGATCAAGTCTTTCCAACAGAACTGCAGAAAACCTAATGCTGAGTATGGGAAGGAGGGATTGATTGAGAGGAGGGAATAAATTCCATCTCCACGTGAGGAAGAACTTCTTCCCTGTGAGGG